AAGTAAAAACTTCCAAATCAATAGTGATATACACAGGACAAAGAATTTTTTACCAATGAAAACATAAGATCAAACAAAAAGTAAATTAATTGTGGTTTATAACTTCAAGCNCAGTAAAAACTTCCAAATCAATAGTGATATACACTGGACAAAGAATTTTTTCCCAATGAAAACATAAGATCAAACAAAAAGTAAATTAATTGTGGTTTATAACTTCAAGCCTTAGGAACTCTGATCAGAACCAGACAATTCCAGAGGATTCAAAATGAAACATGCCACTGACAAAAAAAAGGGAGGTGATGAATGTGAAGTACAGATCGAAAGTAAAAGGAGGATAGACATAGCTAATGAAGAAATTTGTTTTACCTGACTATACGTAACAGATTTTTTTTTGCCCCTCAAATGAGAGGGAACTGAAAGGAAAATCAAATTTTAAAGATCTCATAGTTTTTTAAATTGTGATTGATATATTTTTACATCTAATCTTCTCTTATTAGGCCAAGAGTTCCATAACAGTGAGGACCTATAGAATTTGGCATGATGTTCTGAATACAACAAATTATTTGATACGTGGTAAATACAAGAAGCAAGCCAATACTCACAAGAAAAGAAATTAAATTAGCAATGATTCATAAATCTTTAACACAAGTCAGTAATAAATACATAAAAATACCTGGTAAAACCTGAATCTGAACCCAAGAATATGACAGAGTGTTTCAGGTTCACACAAATACATGTAGGACTGAATTAAAGACAGAAAGAATTCATCATGTTCTGGCCTGCATTCATAAACTTGTAAGATGATATCCAAAACTCTGTTGGTGTCCAAATTAAAGTACCCTGTAACATGAGATATAAAAAGAAAAATGTATAACTGTATCTCATTATAATTTGTAAATGCTACATGAGGGACAGAATTGACAATTCTACAATTCTCAAACTTTGGAACAGAATACTGTGTAGAAGAACAGATGGATTGTGTACCTTGTTGCCTTTTCCCCAACTTGGGGACAAATTTTTCATTTGTCAAAGGAGAACAATAACATCAATTACCCCAAACAAATCCATAAATCTCAAATTCAGTATTTTATTGTCAACATTATTTTCTTCTCAAAAGAAAAGACAATCAATGAAGCATTATTTAAAACAAAAAAAAAACAAAGAGGAAGTTAGAAATACAAAGCAGGACAGCTATGAAAGTCACATTTTAAATTTACAGTCTATCCACCAAAAAATAATGCTTTGTTTCTGATGAACAATCAATCAGTAAACATTTATTAAGCACCAAGTAGGAAAGGCCTCCTTAGGCATTCTCAACTCCCAGCAAAACACAATCCTTGCCTTTCTCACAATCCAATGGGGGAGATAATTTGATTAAAGCAATTTTGAAAAAGTAATTATGGGGCAGCTAGGTGGTGCAGTGGAAAGAGCACTGGCCCTGGATTCAGGAGGAACTAAGTTCAGATCCAGCCTCAGACACATCACACTTACTAGCTGTGTGACCCTGGGCAAGTCACTNTATGCATAAAAGAAAACATGAAAATTATTTATTGTTATGTCAGGCACCTAAAGTTCTCAAAAACGTAATTCATCATCCTAAATATCTTTAAATTAAAAACAGAAATCTTCAATTATTTTAACAATGTTGAATGCCATATTAAATTTCTGAATTTATAACATGAGTTGTCCATTTTGAGGAATTTTTTTCTACACATACACTGGCACCCTCAGAAAACAGTATCATGACACTAATTTGTTAATATTTTGAGAAACATTTAATTATGTTCCTTTTTTAAACTCACAGAAAAGCCCTGATAAACTAGGAAGTAAGATCACTAGTAAGTAAGGTCTTTGAGGTCAGGAATTCTTTTTATGTTTTTATCTTCCTTTGTATCCCATTAGCACTGAGTAGCACTTGTTAAATAACTGCTGAGTGGTTGCTTTCTTCATTGACTAATGGATTGATTAATTAATTAATTGACTAACTGAACTCCCTGACTGATATATCAGATGGAGATCTCAATGACCTTCCAGATAGAGATAAGGCTAACAAAAACATAAACCAGAGAGAAGTTAAGAAATTGAAAAGATCTTTAGACACATTAAATATACTAGATTGCTGGTTATTACTGAAAGAAAACAAAAATTATATCTGAAACAGAAAGATCCTCACAGTTTTTTGTATTTTTTAAGGGAACTAATGCAAAATTTACTAATATTTAGATAAGCTCCCAATAAAAAGGGTGGAAATAACAATGTTAAACAAGAGAGACTTGGTTAATGGAGATAAATGGAGATTCCATTATGCTTAAATGCACTGTCAGCAGTGAATTAATATTAATATATAATACATGTACCCAATAGCACATAATGTAAACACTTAAAAAAAAACCTTAATCAATGCAAATGAGCAGACAGATAGATTATTAAGGTGGGCAGCTAGAGACAGCTGAAACAGAGCAGCAGGCCTGGAGTCTGGAAGACTCATCTTCCTGATATCAAAAAACTCCAGTTTCTTTGCCAAGAAAACCCCAAATGGGGTCACAAAGAGTGAGATACAACTGAAACAACTGAACTCAGGCGCTGAGTTAAACAATGGGAGCACAAAGGCAAAAACAGTACCTGCCCTCAAAGAGCTCAGTGGAAAGAGGACAGACAACAAGTAAACAAATATGAACAAGTTGTACCCACATTAAAGAGGAAATAATTGACCTTAGGGAAAGCACAAGAATTGAGAGGGATGGTGAAGGGCTTTATATAGAAGGTGAGATTTTAGCAAAGAATTAAAGAAAGTTAGAAAAGTAGTACAGAAGAGGGAGAAAACATACCAGGCTTGAGGTACAGCCAGAGAAAATGCCCAGAGCAAAGAGTCTTGTTTGCAAACAGCCAGTATCTCTGGATCAAAGAGTATAAGGTGTAAGAACAATGGAAAGGTGAACAGAGCTAGGTTATAAACGAGTCTGAATGCCTAGCTGAGGTCAGTAATGTATACTCCAGATCTTATGTCTAAGATCTACACAAAATTAAGCAGAAGACAAAGAGGAAATTAAGAGCCTGAATAGAAGTTTAGAAAAGTTATACATGACACACCACTGATGACTAATGAATGGGGGAAATAAACATATTTATTACTTGTCAGTATTATTAAAAAATATGGCCATGTATGGTGGCATAATCAAACTCACAAATTGAAAAACATTTTTAAAATCCTCTACCAGAGGGGCAGCTGGGTGACGCAGTGGATAGAGCACTGGCCCTGAAGTCAGGAGGACCTGAGTTCAAATGCAGCTTCAGACACAAACACTCACTCTTGGCAAGACACTTAACCCCAACTGCCTCACCCAAAAAAAAAAAAAAAAAGGGCAGCCGGTTGGCACAGTGGATAGAGCACCAGCACTGGATTCAGGGGAAACTGGGTTCAAATCCAGTCTCACACACATTAACACTCACTAATTGGGTAACCCTGGGCAAGTCACTTAACACCATTGCCTAATCAAAAAAAAAAAAAAGAAATCCTCTACCAGCGAAACTACAAATTATATTCAATTAAAATCCTTCAGAGAATAGACTAACATCTTAAGAATAAATAAATAACAATCCTAAAATATTGGTGGGTTAAACAAAAAATAATAAAAATAGGTAAGTTAAAAAAAAAAGAACTTAAAACGACACAATATACCTACATTTTTGGGATTCATTTAAGCAGTCATGAGGGGAAAACATATACTTCTAAATACTTTCAAAAAAAAATCGAAGAATCAAGCACACATTGAAAAAAAATGGTAAAGCAACAAACCCTCAACTAAATACAAGAATACATAGATAGCTTTCTCCATCATTCCTATTTATTGTCAACAAAATGTAGCAGGAAGAGATAGAAAAAGAAAACGCATTCACAACAACTACAGAATGTACAAATGTGGGAGCCCAGTTATCAAAAAAGCAAAGAACTTACAGGCATACAACATTTTATGGGCTTTAAAAACTGGAGAGATACTTCTTGCTCATAATTCTAATGTAATAGCAATAATAATCCTAAATGAATTTAAAGATTTTATGCATAACAAAGGATTACTTTATATTTTTTTAAATTATGAGTTTGAAAATATTAACAATGAAGAACATTATCATATATAACAGGGTTAAAAGACAGCAGGGCTCTGTCTCTAGAGGAAATATCTCTACGACGGGTGATTTGAACATGGAAAACTGTGATGTGATTAATTTCAAAAAAATGAGATGCTGTTTAGTGACGATAACAAAGAAAAACTACACTTCACTGGGGACATGATTTGAATCAAGGGATGTCCAGGAATGTATTAAGATGAGGTTTCAGTGAAATAAATACAAGAAGTACATCACAATGAGCCCAGCTTCCCAGAGAAATACTACTATAAATTGTGGTTATATTCTAGAATAATATTTGTATTTCACTTAAGGATATGTAGCATGTCTAATGATCTATGATTTATCTGATAAAGGTACTTTCTTGGATGGTGCAAACTACAATTCTTTGTTTTAAAATACTATTTCTACTTTAATAAATTACTATGGCTAAAGAATTCAAATTTTGGGTAATGAGGCACATTAAACTATGTTGCTTCATAGATAAAATAATTTGTTATCCAATTTATACTTTGTAGCTTCACTGTTTCTTTGGCAATATGTAGTTATAAACATAGTTATTAACAAAAAGTACAAACGTAATATAATCAGTTTATAAAATGGGGAAAAACATATGAATTTACTGACTTGTATCAATTTCATAAGCACCATTATTAATAAAAGCCAAAATTAACATAAACACTCCTTACCTATTAAAGATTTTACATTTTCCAAAATTAAGTCACTAGTAGTAACATTTCCAGATAAATCTTGACCCAACTCAGCAATCAACTTCGCATAACCTTCACTCTCTTCTCTTAACAAGTTGAATTTTTGTTGCTTATAGCTAAAAGTAAATAAACATAATATTATACACTGCAAACTTTTTTTTTTACCAGAGGATTCTGTTTCTATTCATAGGATTTTAACACCTAACAATTTTGTATCAACTGTAAAAATGCAGGATAATTCTTGCTGTAATTAACTAATTAATTAAAATAAATCACTATCATTGCTTTAACCACCCTTAACCCATGATTTGCGAAAGAAAACATCCCAGTAACTTGAAACAAACTACCTTGAGAACAGCACTGGCCCCAGACCACCAATCCTAACTGCAGCCCACAGCTATTATTCAGGAAAACAATTCCCAGATTAAAAAGTGAAAATAAGTAAGTAAACCAAATAAAATAAACCTTTTCCAATCTATTTATAGCACAAAAATATTTTATAATATTACAACTATAAAAATGGTATACTAAATTATGATGAATTTTATATTCAAGTACCATTCAATGCTGTGGTTGGTAACTATGACTTAAAAAGGGGGGAAAAGACAAAAGTCAAAAAAACTTGCAAATTTATCTGTAAAATATTTATAAAACAGTAACTGAAAATATCAATGATGTCAGTTAAGTAACTTCTGGCTTGAAAAAGTGTACTTACAAGAGTTTTGTCTTGATTTTAACAGATTTCTGATTAAATTGCTGGGATTGTTTAATAAGTCCTAATGATTCCAATGTTTCTGGTTCCAAACGCTCCTTCAAGATTTTTTCTGAAACTAAACACTACCAAAAAAAAGAGTATAGTTAAAGTATCTCATTCTAAGCATTTTGCAAACAAAATTCAATTTAGTTTTACACAAAGTAAACTAGTAAATTCAAGAAAACACAATTTCTAAAAAAGTAAATATAAGTATATATGTATATGTATGTGGACACATATTTACAGATTAACTAACCAACAAGCATTTCTTGTTGCCTCATGAAGACACTGGTCATTCAGTCCAGTCTATCTTTTAGCAACCAAAAAAAAACTTAACATTCAAAAAAAATTTTAAAACTTTGCAAGTTTTTAAATTCCCTTTCCAATTCTTTCTTCCATTATTTTTTTTCATTAGGTTATTCTTC